ATGATGATATATTGCGTTCATTGGCGCAAGGGCCATGTGATGGCCAAAGAGCGCCAGTATATTAAACAGAAGATGTGGGCAATGGGTGTGATGACTGGCTGCATAGGGGCCTGAAATTCCTTGCCCGAGGCAGGTAAAACATCGAGGTATTAAAATGAAGAGACTAATATGAAATATGTACAGAGAAAGTAAGTGGCTACCGGTTCTGATAATGATATGGACAGATGATACAGTACGAATGTTTGTCAATGCCCTTGTCTCCAAGGAGAGCGAGGCATGTGCTTTGTAATGTATCTTCTGCAGCAGCGGCCTTATTATCTGTTATTACTCTGGTGAACATTTTGTAACTGGTGAAAAAGTAGGAACACAAAAATGAGTGGAGGAAAGACGCAGATGGGTGCCAAACTACTTCGTTACACATGCCAAGAACCTGCTGGGAACACAGCCAACTACGCACCAAATGTAGTACTATGCATTAACCAGCGTCCGTATAGGATTCCCCTTCAGAGGGGGGGAGGCAAAGGTTCGTGGCAGGGGTCTCCTCCTTATGTTCATGTATGGGGCTGACGCACTTTCTCTGCCCCCCCCCCCCCCCCCTCTTGCGCAGGCCTATGACAAAGTACCAATTTGAGTGTTTTTACGTGCACCATCAGCATGAGAGAAGGAATGAATATAGTGTCACAGCAAATATTGTCTAAAGTGCCCACCGTAAAGCCATTTCTTTCCTTTTGCCAATGTTGCAAATGACGCATTCTCGCATGACCGTCCGATGGCACGTAATGACGACACTAAAGAGCATTTCGAAAATACTGCGTGGTCCGGGATACGTAGCCAACGCAGCGGCTGGCATAGCGATGAAACCCACATAACCGGCTGTCCGCGATAAATGTGTACCAGGGAGCCAATCATCTGCTGGCTAGTTGGGTGCAGCGCTTCGCCTTCTTCGCGTACACACCGTGCCGAGCTGCTTGCGCCCACTCTGCTTTTCGGTAGTCGCCACATCCCCTTTGTTCTTTGCCAATGGTTGTCAGAAAATACCCCCGCAACAGCATTCAAGGAGGAATAACTGATCGGCCGATTCCGTGTTCTTGCAGCAGTGCAACTGCACGCAAATTCAACAGCGCACACGTACAAAATGGCAACCATCATGTAATATCTGCTCACAATACTGCTGTCAACATTATTTTCGGCTCCAAAACCACCTTGTGGCGCAGCAATCGCACAAATTAGATAAAAAAGACCCGTTTGGAGCATGCAGTATGGCGCAGTAATTTCCAGTTGGCACAGATTGGCGCAGGATTCCCACCACTGCTGGCGACCAGTCACCAAGGTGCGGCTTGATAATGTGTACAGTCGATTTCCGATATATCGAATGATTGGCTATATTGAACAGTTGAGAAATTTCCTTGAATTTCCCATGCAGAAGTATGAGACTGTTGCACCTGCATATCGAACTTTCACACAGCGAGACATCCGCTATATCTAATGCTGCGCCATACCGAAGCCTTAAAGGTGCATTTTTTTCCCCAATCCAGTATTGATCAACTTTTGGTCATGTTCTAACGAATTTCGATTGTTCGCGTGCAGGTGACACAAAGGTGCTGTTATTCCATCGAGCTGATCTGGTTTGTTGCATGGCGCTTCCGAATGCCCGGGTATGTTTGATGCGCGGTCTGCTGGTCTTAATGCGCGGGCAGATTGTTTTTCAAAAGAGACTGATTGCCGAGAACACCAAAATGAGAATGCGAAATGACTCAGATCTAGTTGCAATGTTCGCATTGCATTCTTTGTTTGTTTTGTGCACAATAGTATTTGAGCCTGAAAAGCATTGTCTTCAAGATCAGCAACATCGTGACGTATTTTGCGTTTTCGGTTTTAAAACTCTTGTCTCAGAGGCTACGCTTTTTTCTAGCTTTTCGCATCAAAGCAGTTACTAATACTCATCAAAATAATTTTTCTTTTCGTCTTGAAACGATTTGCCTGGCGAGCCTTCTTTGTCATATGCTGTGCAGCCCTGTCAGCTAAGTACTGTCGACGCAGGACAAGGGTGCGTAGTGCCTGCACTGTACAGTGCCCTCGGAAACTCCAGAGGAGTTCAGCACATTCACATAGGCCATATTGCCATCCTTAAAGTGAGCACAGTATCAAGAGTGCATATTTTCAATGTGTGGTGTCCAAAGAAAATGTTTTTTTGAAGTGCTCTCCCCCACGACAATTCAACAACTCATTAAGGTTTTGAGTTTTCCCATAGAGCCATTTAACAAGTAATTCTGAAAGAGCTATTTCTGGACAATTTGGCTTAACAGCCTCAACAACAGATGCTGGAAGGTGTTCTATATGAACGAATGATTCACCATTCGACTGGACTTTGTTGAATTTAAACCAAGTTTTGGCACCCTTTGGGCAGCACCTGTGGGATGGGTTGGTATCCTTTGATGCCAGGTGAAAATAGGTGGCCCGGCCAGCTTTTCGCATGTCCTTCAAGCTGGCTCTATTTCTTTGAATGACCAAACAATAATAGTTTCAGTGCTCACAAATGACGACACCAATGAGACGTCCCTAGCCATATGTAGATTTCCTGACAGAAAGCTTGATGCGTCTGCTTTCTTTCATTTTCGAAGTTCTGGACCCTTTATTTTCTGAATGTGCCAAACGCATTCCAGCTTGCAAACTGCAACCTCTCCATATGGCTACATGCATGATGTTTAAACTGTAAGGAATCCCTTGGTACATAACAATGGAGGCATGGCAGGCCACCGCACAAGTTTTGAAACATGCAATTTTTAGAGAAAAAAAAAAAAAACCACCGAGACAAACAAACGAATGATTCTGGTTCAGAAAGGGCTGAAGATGTCAAATATAATACAAAAAAATGTTTTTAAACATTGTTACTCTTTACGCTGTCCCCTTCAATTTGTCAACAATCCCACAAAGAATGGGTAAATCATAATGTGCTGACGTAGCTAGAAATACTCGATTAGCCCGCACGTCATCGCTCTGCTACAGTGAAGCACGTATTGCTCTCCGCAGGTGCACGTTTCGATTGACCACAAGACCGTTTTTTTTTTTGTCCTCCCTTTTTCTTTTTGGCGCTGGAAGTACTAGTGGGCTCCAGCTAGTACTTCCAGAAGTGGGCTCCAGAAGTACGTGCTCCAGCTGCCACTCATTAGTATCGCTACATTGCCATTGCCTTGTGGCTCTCAAGAGCAGTCGTTTCCACGAACTTGCGGCAAAATTGGGATCAGGAATTGGCACATGGCATCCAAAGTTTTCTAATCAACCAAACTGATGCTGACCACCACTTCAAATTATATGCTCAGACTTGCATTGCAAAATATGGAACCACAGAAATATTTTGAATTAAGAAGGATTTCAAAATAGCAGTTTGAATTATTGAGGTTTTACTGTGTGTGTGCATTTTTTTTTTGCGATTGTTCACTTTGAATAACCTTCGTTTTTTTTTTTGTTTCTCACTGCAGAACTTATCTATACGGAGTAGCCGAGGTAATATGGACCTACACCTTTCCACAGCAAAACAGAACAGAAGTTGCTAATAGTAATCGGCTTTTATGTCGTAGGCACGGAACTTGACAAATGCTATGTGGTTGGTCGTTCACCTCGCTATTCTCAGCGAGTGTAGTACTCCTTTTTCACTAAAACTTGCCGACATCGTTTTTATGTTGCCCTCGGGGAAGTTCTTTCCTTCCCCCAACAAAGCACCACATTGAACACGTGGTAAGGTGTAAACCGGCCAATGCCCTTTCTCTTTGGGTGGCCTATCTTTCGGGTGCCAGAAATCAACCTGCTACAATCCACTTCCATGAAAAGCATGTCCATACAGTTTCTCGTGGTGGATTCCACAGCTTTCTTCCAAGCTTTGAAGGGAGATGGCCCAATTTTTCACACAGAGAGTCAGTGCGTCTTCAGAAATTTCTACCCGCAATTTCCACAAACCGATTCGGCCCATGCATTCCTCGCCTATACCTGGCTAGCTAACAGCTGTCCAACACTCAATCGAAATAATTTGTCGGGGGCGAGCTCTGGAAAAATGGCACCTAGACCCAGACGATGAAAAAGTAACGAGTAACGCGACACCACATGTTACCGAAAAATGATAATGTAAGTATGTTACCCATTACAGTAGTGTAATTGTAAACAAGTACATAACTAAGTTGCCGAAAAGAGTAACGCCTGACCGGTAACTGTGTTACTTGCAACGCTTTACCACCAACACTGCATAGGCCCAACATTCCAAGTTTCAGAAAATTTCATCGAGCCCAAATTGCGAAAATAGGAATAATACATGTTCGCCATCAACCAGGGCGATTTCGGGTGCGAAATTTAAAAATAAAACTTCAACCTTGATTTTCTCCTCTAATAATGAACATATGATTGTGAAGCTTGCGAGATTAAAGTTCTCAGATATTGATTGATTGATATGTGGGGTTTAATGTCCCAAACCACTATATGATTATGAGAGACGCCGTAAGGAAGGGGTCCGAAAATTTCGACCGCCTAAGGTTCTTTAACGTGCACCCAAATCTGAGTACACAGGCCTACAACATTTCCGCCTCCATCGAAAATGCAACCGTTGCTGCCGGGATTCAATCCCGCGACCTGCGGGTCAGCAGCCGAGTACCTTAGCCACTAGACCACCGCGGCGGGGCGTTACATCGATAATTTATTGTGAATTCCAGGTCTCGTGCTGCACGTTAACATTTTGCTCGCGTGTTCTCGAAAGCCTCTACTACTGATATGCAGCATTTTCTGACCATGCTCAAAAAGCATTGTAGGGCCCTTTTAAAGGTAATGTTAGCCTTTTTCAAGTTCAACTAGAGCCTTGATTTTTTTTTGTCATGAAAGCAGTTAAAGAAAGCTGTAATTTTAGAAAAAATCTTGCATTTTTTAGTGTGGCATCTCTGTAAGAGGGCAGGGTGTGCATTCATGTTTACGAGTGCTAATTAATTACGGTGAAAGGCAACTTCAATACTGATAAGTACCTTTCATTGCAGCATTTCTGGGACAGGTCCATGTGTGCAACATCCGTGTAATGGAGCCATTCAGGTGTGCAGCTTTAACTGTCATTAAATCTTGGTCAGCTGCTGCACGCTCTCGCTCCATCCACAAAACAAGTCTACAAGCAAAAAAAGATCTTATAGCCACTGTAAAGTTAAACAAATTACAACAGCAAAATTCTGTAATGTTGAGTCTAGTAGTACTTACACCTGCAAGCTGCTGCCCCTAATATTCATAGACGATTCAGATGAGAAAGCATAAAAAAGAAACCAAAGTTTAGCATAGATATGCCTCAGATTAATGGCTAGGTGGGAGAGTTGGTCTGGGTTCATACTGATGTATCATGGCAGTGCAGTCACTATTAACTAATACAAAAGACAGGATTAAGACAGGACATGCACTGTACTCTAAACATTTTTTTTTATTTTAGAAAAAATGTTATATGCAGCCAGCATAGTCACGCAAAAAGAAAAATTGCCATGGATGTGTGAAGCAAACCACATCAAGATAACAGCTGGAGGCAAACTGCCTAGTGATAAACATACACAGCAATAAAAACATTATGTAATGGCCCTATAATACATAGGTACTGATGAGACACTCAAATTACTTTCTTTAGCGGGGTTAGACATGCTTGCCTGATGCATTTATCTTTCAATCTGGTGACGTGAAACGCTTCAATTCTGGTTATTTTGTTGTCATATCATGAAAGGACAGTGGTACCAATAAAAAACATGGATTGCATCTACACGAAAGACAATTGGTGGAATTACATTGGTCAAAGCAGGAGGCACATGAACACAGGGCTGCAAGAACACTGACGCTCACTCTCCCCTTCTAATTCCACTACATATCTAGCCAATATGTCTTGTGTGGATGCATTCCACATTTTCTTGATACCATTGTTCTTTCATGACATCACAATAAAATAAGAGGATTAATTGAACGCTTTCACATCACCAGATTAAAAGATAAATGCATCAGACAAGCATCTGTAACCTTCTCAAACATGAATTTGAGTAGCTCGTCAACATGTGCATATTAGTGCCTTTTTATAATGTCTTTATCGTGTATGTTTACGAACAGGCCATTTGCCCTTTCCTCTAATCTTGGTGTGGTTTACTTTTCACCATCTGTGACAATTTACTTTTGGGCGACGATGCTGGCTGCATATAAAGGGCATTTTTGTCAATAAGTTTAGTTGTGAGTACAGCGTATGTCCTGTCTTCATCTTGTCCTTCGTATTCATTGCTGCAGTGCCGTTAATACAGAGCAACTGAACATTTTTACAGTAGACATAGTACAATAAATATTTATTACAGCAAATTACTTCCCTGAGTAGCTCTTTGAAACTAGCTTGCAATACAACAGCATAAAAGAGCTTTTGATTTGCTGCACCAGCCACACAAAGTCGAACAAGATATGTTATGCAAGAAAACCTGCCTTGTTTATAGACTGTTCATCACTGTCTACATCTTTACGATCTACTCAGTCTTACTGAATATCACTATGACACAGAAAGCATCAATTTTTTGTTTTATGAAAGTACCATCACTGAAATTCCCAATAAGACCAGTTTCTTCGAAACAGAGGGTAGCTAAAGCTTCTATGGCTGTCACAGACTATGCATACTTGGCAAGCAAATTTGTCCCAATGGTCCACCAACCTGTTCACAGCATCCACTGCAAGATCACTGACATGTCGCACAGAATCCCAGATGAGATTGCTGCAGTACCGTCCGCCTGTTGAACACACAGAGATCTGGCTGCGAATTTCGCTGTTGAGCTGCACAGAGTTTCCTATGTACAGGTTGCCAGATAAGCAGTCGATCGATAGTGCAGTCAACTTCACCAAGGACCCTGGCAGAATAAGTGAGAAAGGAAGTGAACATCTTTCTGAACAGCTGTTATACCCATCATCTTGGGACTAGAGTAGCAATGCTGCTGTTTACAGCATACAAAAATATAGGGGAGAGGGAGAGAAAGTGTTTTTTTTTTTTTAAGTTTGCCAAATGCACTAAATTTTTGTAGTATAACAGGCACTTCACTGATGCACGAACCTTAAGTGCAGCACACAACTTTGGAGAACATATAAACAGTGTACAGGATTAAGACAGAAAAGAGGGGATGACAGGATAGTGCACCGACACTCAAATGCATTTTTTTTTTCATTGAACAGGCACAAAATGTTGCCTTAAATAACGCTACATAAGAGGTTTCAATTTAGTCTTCTTTCAACAACATTCCAGTTGAGAGTCAACATACCATACTTTTGTCTCTCCTTTGTTTTCATCTTTTGTTCTGTTCAGTACATCATCCTACAAACTCACCCAGCAAGCTTTACTTTTACAAACTTGGAATTAGAAAGACTAAAAAAAAAGCTTGCAGAAACACGCTTCTTCAGTTACAGCCGCAAAAATTTTGACAATTAGGCATAACCTCTTCAGTCTCTGTGACCTCGATTGGGGTCCCTTCTTCGAGCAAGCGCAGTTAATTCTGAAGCAAACATTACCTTCAATTTGCATTTCTAGTGTGGAAGACATTACTTAACTCAATGATATGGTGCTGCATGTTGAGCATCTACGGTGCACAGTGAGTTTGAAAATGGAGTTTTCCAGAGACAAACTTTTTCGTCTTCACGGTGTGTAAATAAAATTTTTCGAAGTTTATGTTTGCTCAGCATGTAAGACAGCTCCATCTGAATGGTCTCCAATGAAGTTGTAATCTATTTTCATGCACAAACAATGTTATGAATTGTAGTTAACAGCTGTGTAAATTAATCAGATAAATTCTAATCAAGTTTACTTTGTACAAATAATCAAATTTCATTAGTTTTTTTTTTCATTGTTCATCCAAATTAAATTTCCCATTTTCTTGTATACTCTAGACCAAAAAAAAAAGTTTGAAATCAATTGACCAGGAATTGTCTTCTTGGGTCAATGAAGGATAAAGTACCTGAAAGCGTTAATGCCTTTTGCTTGCCTTAAAACGTGGCTGTCGAAGCTGGGATCGACCCCAACCTAATAAAGCTTACCAGCACAACACCACAGCCACTGGGCTGCTGCAGAGAGGGAAACTGCTGCTACTGATGTCACATATTGTAATATCCTGTATGAATGAATTGAATAGGCCTGCATTCTTTGAGCTTCCTTCCCAATTCATAGAAAGAAAAAGAAAACTTCAAAGGACACCGATGAAGGAAGCTTTTCATAGACAGAATTTTTGTAAGTCAACCTGATGAAATGTGTGAAATTTAAAACATGTCTGAATGTAAAAAATTGTAATCGGTTGGTTGATACATATTCTAAACAATGTATTTCACATAAAGAAACATTAGGTTTTGCATCTATTCTGGTAAAGGCCAACACATAAATATACAGCCAAAGTGCACTACGTCTTCATATTTAAATCACCTGAAAAAACCTCCCAGGCAGTTTATCCATGATGTGTTATATTGCCACACTATCACTGTTATAAGCTTAACTCCAACTACAGTAATACAATGAGAAAGTCGACATTCATGAAAATGACAGCAAAGATCATACCATGTGGAAATTATTAAAGGGACTCTGAAACAATTTTGACGATTTTGTACAAACACATTGGGCCGGTAGACCAAGTCCCAAAGGTTATTAGAGACTGATTTGGGCTCTTCGTGTAAAATGTGTAATTTATTACGCTTTAAAGCTGCGAATCCGTGCAGATCGACACATATTGTTGCGACTCGGCCAAACGCGTCTTCAACCGCGCATTCACAGAGCAACGTGCTCCGGCCACTTGAGGCCAGAGCATTGGCTGTCATGTGCTGTAGAATGCGTGGAAGTAAGATCGGCTGGTAGGGTGGCAGCACCTGTCGGGAAGATATGAACCAATCTGCGATCTTCGTCTCTGCTGCCAGATGGCATGCGTGCTGCCAGGCACAGTGTGATAACCTCCGAAACTGCGCGCAACCTGTCGGCGTGCCATCTAAGAAGTCTAGACTGGTAAAAGCTCAAATCGTCGAGCGCTCTCATGAAAGCTCTGCAATTGCCAGCGATGCCAGTATGCCTTTCAAGTTAAGAAGGGCAGGCAGAGGTGAGAACGAGGGTATAATATAATTGTCCGTAGTGGTCTTGGTACATGGTGCGTCACTTAATTTGTGGTGCGAATGGTTTGATGATGCTCTAGCTCAAACACTCACAAAACTTTTAAAAAGCGTTTCAGAGGTCCTTTTAAGTTTATGCTAATAACAAAATGCAAGTGGAGGGCTCACAATTTATTCCACACCCGCTACAACACTTTTAGAAAGCTGATAACTAAGGTTATCGAAAGTAACCAACGTGCAGCCTCTACCATCACAATCATGCTCTTTTGTTTAATACATGCCGAGAAACTATTTATTTATTTATTCATTCGTAAAGTACTGCTAGCCTTCTCTTTTACCACAGCATATAGTACTGTCAGAATAATAATACTAATAATAATAATAAAATAAATTTCAGGCTAATAAGCATTAAGTTTGGGTTAATTTTGTTTAGAGTTGCATTGAAGATTATTACAGGCATACCAGGAGAGTTGAAAAGTCTTACCAAATTTTGCAAATATTTCAGTAGTGTAGGTCTTGAGCATGTGTCTTTTTATCGTTCTCCCTTCAATCCAGTACAAAACTTCATTTCGGCTATCGAAGGTTAAGGCAAAAGCAGTGACCTGCAAGAAAATTTAAAAATCATCAAGGATTTGTTTAAGACAGCTTTCATTGGGGCCTGACCTCAAAAAGAAAGCCACATACACATTTTAGTGCACATACACAAAAAAGATGAAGTACTAGTAGTGTTGGGGGCGCATGTAGAAGTAATGTGCCAAGTGATGGGAAGTGAAAAATTAGTACTATACATCTACCTTCGTGGCTGCTGGACTTTCTTTTTTAACAATACTAAAAGCTTACGTGTAGCTTCACAGGAGGATAAATCCACCGAAACGGATCCTCTGTGTAGGCAAAATAGACAATATTTGTCTCCTTTGTTTGATAAAGAACCAGTGGTTCATGATCTGTAAAAATAAATTGCAACAAAAGAAAAAATTACAAAAACTCACATGGGAACTGTGCATTTAATCAAGGCGATTCAGCCATTCCATCAGCAGATTGCAATAAATTGTGCACATTTTTTTTACCTTTGCAAGTCCGCTTGTCGGAGCTAAGTTGCAGGCCATATGGACACATACACAAAGGCCGATCATCTCCCATAACACACAGATGACTGCAGAAGCCATTGTTATTGGCACAATAATTTGTTGTGTTGTCTAAAAGAAAACATTTTACAAGTTCACAGGCTGTACAACTGAACCAGTAATACAAAATAAAACATGGTTACAAAGTAAGAAAGTTGGAACACAAAGCTGAAAATGATAATCACTTCTCTAAATGATAGGGTACCTTGAACAAAGAAAAGGTGAAAGTCCTTATCAATGACGGACAAGTTTGCTTTACCTCGTAATCAATAATTTACTTACACGTGGGATGTCTAGAAGGATGAACAATAGCAGCCTGATAGAGTGTACTACTGGAATGGAGAACCACCTTCTGAGATGCGTTCAATGAAAACCGATGTGCCTGGTAATCAAACATTTATTGTGAGAATGCATTCGGAAGCCAACTGACACTAACATGCACAACAAAACGTGAAGTGAAGATGAGAATACTTGCCTTATATATACTAGAAAATGCAAGGTCTGTCCAATAAAAGTAATCACCAAACACATCCATTGAAAAAGGCTTGGAAAATGTTGACAAGTGAAGTATTTTTTTATGGTCTGTCCCATCATATTTAACAGTGTGGATTGAGCCAGACCTGTAACGAAATTTTGAGACTGAAGAATAAAAGCACACACAATCATCGACCAAAATTTGGCACCACAAAAACCGGCCATGTGACATGAATGAAAATGTTCGCAGGAAATGCCAACGTGATGCTTTATTTCCCATCACTCCTAATGCAGCACACTCAAGTGAACCGGAGCTACTAAAGCTTCTTACACAAAAAGAGGGCGAGGGGGTGCAAGAAGGAGGAGAGGGAAGCTTGCAATGAAGAATGTATATACGGGGTGCATGTGCAAAAATGAAAAGTGAAGGTGACTCAAGAGAGATCCCACAAGGGATCCACTGGACTGTTAATAAAACACAGACATAATAAAAAGGTTGAAAAAACAATTTGAATTTTAACTTGTATTACATTATGAGTGGAGGAAGGCATTACGAAAAGTGGAAGTTGGCTTGACAATTTTCAGGCTCTTTTGCTAGACAGACAGGATAATGTGTTATTTCTTAACTTACCCAGCATCAATCCAATAGACTCTATTGACCGCATAATCCAGCGTAATTCCATTGGGCAAAGATTCTGGCAGGTTACTGTACTCGCCCACATTAACTATCACCTTTCTTGAGCTGCCATCCAGGTAGCTTCGCTCAATTCGTGGGTTTTCATTATCCCAGTCAGTCCAAAAGAGGAACCTGTGCACATGAAGTTAATGTTGTAAGCAGGTAAAATTACGAAGCCGAACTTTGAAAAGAGTGTGCAAATTAACTGAAAAGCTTAATCAGCAAATATCCTAGCAACACTAAAACACACTGATTTGTACAAATATAGCTACATTCCTGCAACTTTTGACTGTATAAACGCTTTGCCAATGACAGATTTTTTTGTCTTTGCTTGACATGAAATTTATTGCCACTCCTGCCATAGCCCATGATGGGCTGCACTATGTATAAATAAATAATAAATAATAAGCTCGACAGATGAATATTCTGACAGCTGGGCATCAAGCAATTGATCAAAGGTGTAAAAGTTTTAGCATACTAAATTTCTTAACTCTTGTAATAAATGATGGGTTCTACATCTCTATAGGGTTAGGGCTGCTCATTACTTCATACACTCTTGGGCTTTTTACTCATAACTTCCTACCATATTGCATCCTTCTGTCCTTGGTCAGTGTTTTGATTACTGATGCTTATGCTGACAGTGACACACTTAAAGCGATACAGACACCTTTTTTTCGGAGGAAAGTTTATTCTGCCATACAGATCTCCAGACAGCTATGAGCAAGAGTGACGTACAGCAAATGCCGATAAGTTATTTTATTTTGATATTATAGTCAACTGTGTCACGGGCCACCTTCGCGAACCGCGACCAAGGCGGAGACCGAACGCCAACCAAAGCGGGCTTTATACTATTCCCCGTGTTTCACTCCGGTTGCGTACATGCACAACATGCAGTTGTTGACCGACTACGGATGGTCGAACGTTGTCCCCCGTGCCGCGACAGTTGCCACACGTGCAGCGCGCTGGACTGACGATTGAAGAAGCAATGCGCGGACGACGATAAGTCATGAAAACTTGTGCGTGCATATACCATCGTTTGGTGGTGCTGCCAGGGGTGAAAGCGTCTAGATCTTGGAAAATTGCGACACTTCTAGATCTATGCCGCCACACTCTTGATGCGCCGCCGACCTCCTTTTTTCACCTCCTTGTTCGCGTCCCAGCTGAATGGCTGGGACACGTGCTACCACCTAATCAGGTGACCCTGACGTAACAAAAAGCTCGTGCAAGTAAATCTCGCGCGCTTTTCGTTCCTCACGTGCGCCATGAACCCTCCAGGCATGTACGTACGCATGTATGTATGTATGTGTACGCATGTATGTATGTGTACGCATGTATGTATGTGTACGCATGTATGTATGTGTACGCATGTATGTATGTGTACGCATGTATGTATGTGTACGCATGTATGTATGTGTACGCATGTATGTGTACGCATGTATGTGTATGTATATGAATGAGATTGCGTGTGCATGTGTGTGTACATGTGCACTATTGTGCGAGCGTGCATTTTCACATGTCTATTCACAAGCAATTATGTGCATGCATTTATGCTTGTATGTATTCGCAAGTGCGTTGTACGCGTGTGCACGCATGTGTATGTGTGAGCTTCCACGTGCCTATCGCCTCCGTCGAAAATGTCCCAAATCAAAACCACGATGTGATTGTGAGAGACGCCGTAGTAGAGAGCTCCGGAAGTTTTTCTACCTGGGTCTTTTTTACGTGCACCTGAATCAAGCGCACGTGCTCCGAGCATTTTCGCCTCCATCGAAAAATGTACGTGGCCGCCACAGCCGGGATTCAATGCCGCAACAGCAGTCGAGTACCATAACCACCATGCCACTGCAGCGGGGGTGCACATTATTAGAGAGTTTTAGTTTGGCGTATTTAGGCTCCGCTCAGCAGCTTAGCGGAGAGGGAATGTGAGTGCACATGCACCCTCCACTATGGCCAAAAGCGGGTTAGCAATTGAGTGGTTCCCCCGTCAGGTGGCGAGGGGGTGAAGATTCATCCCAGCGTGGCCCCATACCTATTATGTCAATGTTTGGGGCCGATTTTCAGCCTACCACCCACGAGTCGCAGCACCCCTTCCATATATTGTCAATATATGTGGTTGATCACTTTGCAATCCCCCCCCCCTCCACGACCACACCTGTGTGCACGAGTGATTAAAAAAATTATCACGTGATGAAGTCACCATGACATAAACGATGCCGAAGTGTGACGCCATTATGTCACCTCGTTATGGCATCGTCACTTTACACTATCTTTGATATCGGCCAACCAATCGCGGATGCAGTGCAAAACAAAGTGAGGTGCAGGACCTTGAATTTATTTAAGACCCTACAGGTAGTGCAAAACCACAATCGATGCAGAAAACTCTCGGGGGGAGGGGTGAATTAAAGTTATCGACGAAGAAGAACAATGCATTTCCCAACGAGCTGGCTTAGGCGATAGCACAATTAATGGCCTCGCGAGTTTTTATTGTTAATGATGGCGTAAAAAGTAAACATGTCCAGTTATTGATCTCGCCACCAATTATTCATGTTAGTCATACAATGGTGCCAATCATGAACCAATTGAAAGAGACTCTAGAGTTGCGCCAATTACCTTTTATTTTTTTAGTACCATGCCCGCACCGACGGGCACATACGGCTTCTTACGAGCTATTTGAAGCTTTCAACTATTTGAGAAAACAAGATAGGGCAAGAGGAAGACCTAGAAAAGAAATATAATACAAGAAATAAAAAAGGTCTTAAAACCATTAGCATGAGCTAGCCACTTACTGTGCTCACACCTGCTACGTTCTAGTGGTTATTCATACAATTTCTAGCTTATGATTTCCTGTAGCTAGTCTACATTCGTCATTCCACACATAACTAAATTAAGCCCCCTCCGCTCATGATAAATTGCATCCAGAAAGCGTTCCTCAGATGGTGGAGTATGTGTGAACCATTGCGGTAATATACCAGCTAGACATAAACAAACCAGATCTCCCTTTCGCACCACACAAACACGTTCTAAGCGCGGTGAGTCAATGCAGTATTATGTTGCAGGGACATAGTACTCAGTATCACCAAAATGATCGCAATGTTAGCTAACAACCGCAAAAATATCAGGCGCCTATCAGGCGTGCGGGAAAAGCTTACAATGGATGGATGGATGGATGGATGGATGGATGGATGGATGGATGGATATGGCTGTACCCTTTAGATCAGGCGGTGGCTAACGCCACCAAGCCGTAATACTCAGCGAACCAAAAAACTAGATTTATCTTTTTTTTTTTTTTTTTAAATAGTGAGGTTGAGGACTGGTACTTTGCAGTGAAGGGTTTAATTTTCTCTCGTGCCTTGACTTTAGCCACCAATCAGATAACCTCCTAGTTAATTCTACCTGCTTAAAGCCTATTTTGCCCTCCCTGTCCCTAAACTCCAGTGCTTTGAAAAACTCTGCACCATCATCCTGAGCTATAGGGTGAAGCCCTTTACAGAACATTATCAAGTGTTCGTCAGTTTCCTCCTCCTCTCCGCATGCACTGCATACCGTGTCTACCCCTTCGTATTTGGCCCGATATGTCTTGGTTCGCAATACTCCCATCCTGGCCTCAAACAGAGAACTACCCCGGATATTATAGATCATTTCCTTGGCAATTTCCTGCTTAAAAATTCGATAGATCTCTAGTACCGACTTCATAATCATGCCAATTTTCCACATATCAGTCCCGGCTTGCTTCATCTTCTTAACAGATCAATTCTTCTTAACCAATAATTCTGTCGTGTGGCGGAAGTTCACCACAAAAGGTTCTCACTCCCACAACCGCCTGGATCGAGCGCGTGTGGCGGTGTGCCCGATCTAGGCGGCCGTGTCACTCCTCCCATATGTATTGGCGCGGCGCTTTGGACACTCTCCCATTTTTTAGGTCACTACTGCCGTTTTCGCAAGCAGAGGGAGGCGCAACGCGCGTCCTTTCTTGTGCTCTGGAATGCAACTTCGCTGACTATCGCTATGGTTCCTAGAATATATTCTAGGGACCACACTATTGCGCGGCAATATTCAAGACGACGCTTCATTTTTCTTCCATGAAACAGACTGGTAACACATTGCGAGAGCAAATACTAATAATTCGTGAACAATTTGTAAAATAACAATTTGTAATTTTATTTAACAAGGCTGAACTTGGCACTGCAACAGTGAGTGTTCCGCTCCGGAAAGGACAACGCATAAGTGCCGCTGGCCTACTCGGAGTGGAGCGGGTCGTAAGAACATCAAACTAAAACTCTATTGACGGCCGAAGTGGCAACGGAGAGGTAGACCACTCAGCCTCTAAATAAATGCTTTTTTTTTTCTGAAGCACCTCCACTTGTATTTATCGAAGAGTCTTTTGAAAAAAATGCTCATCACTATGTCCTATCGGAAGCCTACTTTCGTCACGACTGTCCGAGAAACCGATCAAACAAGCGCGCGCAATGATTCCGAATGCGGCTTCAGCGAGCCACTGGGGGGGTTCACCCAACACCACCTCCAAGGAGAAATCGAAGAAAAATCGCGGATGAAAACGCGCGCGCGGAGGATAGTGTCGCTACTTTTCAGATAAATAAATTTTATGTAAGTGGACTCAAGTGTTTCGGGGCAGCTCAGGAATAATGCTGTTTTGGAGAAGCTATGGCACAGTAAAAGGAGAGTTTCGGAGCAGGTTCGGAGCACCAAAATGTGCGTTTTTGGAGCAGCTTTCTAGGGTCAAACGTCATCGTCAATCAAAATTATTTCTGGTAAAAAAAATTCCAATGCTTTTTGCTAAACATTTAGTACTAATGACTTTACCAAACTTACCACCTCCAAATGTGTGTGTATTCCCATCATTAAACATCACAGCTGACAGAAAAATAACTGAGAAAACAAGGCATAGGCAATGGGATGCTTATCACTTGTTTTCATAACCAACAGATAATCACGGCACACAAATTCGCTTGGCAGGAGATTATCCCCATGCTAATTAAACACAGTCCATTCCAAAGCGAGCACCATCTGTGCTCGCTCTGGAGCGGAGTGGGGATGAGCCAGGCAGCGGCGGCGTGACAGGCGTGGGCAGCATATATGCATCACGCTGTACGCAACTAACCAGGAGATAAAGTCTA